GGACCCAGGAGGGCACAAAAATTATTACCTTTTAGAGCCTTAATCTCTGATAGCCAAAAGAAAGACTGACAGCCCTTAGGTCAAAACAATCTGTACCACAGAAGCACTTCTTGTAGCAAGTTGTTCTGAAATCTCACACCTTTAAGTCTTCGCTGGTGGAGATACCACCTCTGTTTATATAATACAATGAGACAAAAGAGATGCAATCAATGAAAGTTGATCTAACGTTTTTTTACATAAAGCCTGTCTAACTTTCATAATTTTATCTATCCTTAAATTTCTATATTTTTTAAATCTAACTGTAGCCCAAGCCAGAGCTTCACTTATGGGTTTTGGTACCACAGTTCATGAAGTCCCATATCAGAGAGTCCTGAAAATTTATTTTTTCTATCTCCTAACCATTTTATCCACTCTTGAGTTAAAAGATCTTTGGTCCCCAGCAAGAAGTCAAGCTAAGGGACCTTGACTCTGTTATCAATCTTTAACTTGATTTAATCAGCCCGATGGTCATCCTAAGTGATTGCTGGTAAGATTTCTCACTGTAATTGTTTCCTGCCAGTCTTTAAAGTTTCTCCAAACTGAGGTAAATAGAACAGATTTGTTTGGGGCCTTTTAGTGTTGGGGGACCAACAGGGAATCAGTTTGGCCTTTAGTAGTGCTATACTAAAAGTTTTGTTTAAACCTATCAATGACCATTTTATTTATCTCAAATTTTTTTAAACTAAAGATTTCCACTCTGCTGGGAGGAGTCGTGAGACTCGACTTTCTCTTTGTTTCGCCCTTATTAATATTTAAAAATAGGTATCTCACTCTGTTTATTTCATTTGAAAGCCTTGGCTCTTTTTTTAATTGCACACATATATTTAACAATACAATTTTACATAGAATGCTGAGTACTTCCTTCATATATTTCAAAAGGACTTAAAATATGGACTTTCTATTCATATTCATACCGTAGCATGGTCAAACCTAACTCCTAAATAGATGCATTACAATTTGTTTAGGGTTTAAAGGCTTAATGGCAATAATGAGGGGAGGAAAAAGCTTAGGTTTGGTTTACATAACCAAATGAAAAATAAACTCAAGAAATAGTCAATAAAATTTCATATGGCTTCATGCACCCTGAAGGAGGATGCGGTGCCCGATTTGGAGGTGTGACTGCTATGTCCAAATAATCTCCTCTCTGGAACTTCTGCGACTGCAGGGTCATGGAACTGTCAGTCCCTTTTCTCCCAGACATGGTACTGCTAATTTCCTTTACTTGATAGCCAGGTCTTTTAACATCCGTAAAAACAACTCCAAAATTGAAGTGTGTGTCCTTATTTCTAGCTTCTGAGTAGACTCCTTTCATAAAACTAGTCAGTTCTTTCAAGGTTGCCACAAATTCTCAAGGGAGAACTCATCCATGTGGGGTTGGAAGGTCACTGGTGTGAAGACAGATAGCAGCAAGTGGGCACTTCTCTTACTCTATCAGCTTCTCCTGCTCAATTTCCTCCTGGCTAACCTGCAACTCAACTACCATCTTCCTCCTGTGGCCCACCAGAAGCTCGCTCTGGAAGCCCTTGCTTTTCAAGTACACATTTAAATGATCTAATCTAATTAGAACATTCCTCATAGTAGCTATTGTAATTTTAGAGTATAATTTCCTTGAAGACTGGCAGCAGTTTGGTAGAACCCTAGCTGTAAATGAAGTTTAGCCCACATTTCCGACTGGCCATATGTGGGAGCTTTTACCAAGCTAAATTCTCAGGACATAAAATTATAGGTTGTCTTTTAGCAAGATTTTGTCATTCTTTTTCTTTCATATTTCTTTTTACGTGCAAGACAATTGTACTTCTATATTTCCTGATATTTTACAATATCTGCAAATATCTAAAGGCAAATAGGAAGAGGTCTGAGTGGACTTTGATTTTTGTTGTAATTTGTCCTTCCTCCTTATTAGGGGAATCTTAATGACTAGCTATTATAACAATATGAGGGCTTTCCACAATATTTCTTTTTTTTCAATTGGGAAATTTTTCCAATTAAAAGGACCATTGTCTGTCCTTGACGGTAGACTCCATAGACTCAAAACCAATACTGTGGATGCAAAGGAGAGTGGAAAAAAAGATGCAACCTTCACAAGATAAAATTATTCCCAGAGTTAGCCTAAGAGATGGGGGGTGGGGAAAAAACACTCTTTAAACAACTGTTCCAAAACACAAGAAATCACGTGCTTTCTCCCTTGAACAGAATAAGATTTAAGATTCCCTAAGCTTGGATCCACAGCCTATTTGGCTGCCTGCCAGATGCATAGGCATCATCCAGCTGGTGGAAATAATAGACCATCTCTGGGAGGAATGGGATAGACAGAAAACTCTGGAGGGCTGTCATGGCCAGATGGAGAGCAAGGTACACCTTCGTAAGTGCGCCCTCTAGATGGTAGAAGCCAGAGAGAAAATATTCTCATTCATCATAAGGCCAAGTTCTCAGGACATACAAGACGAAAGGAAAGAGACAGAGAAAAGCAAAACCCCATGAATATTCATACCAAGTAACCAAGAGTAGCTAACTCAAGAAATGAGTTTCACAAATATTTTCTCCTGCCAATCTAAATTTAGAAGATCCTCACCACTTTTCCTTCCACGGGATCCTGCAGGTAAGACGCCTTGGGGCCTTCAAAGGGTCATTGCAGGATGATAAGAACAGATGTTTAGTAAATAAAAGTTTGCCCTACCATATAGGTGGGTCAAAAATGTTATTGCCGATAATCTCTTATGGGCAAGATCTCTAATTTAAGAAGTTTCTCTTGAGCCTGAAGCTAAAATTGCCTTCACATACCACAGAAGCACATCTTGGGATGACTAGCTCTGAACCCCCACAATTCTCAGCTGGGTTGTGCTCTAGAAGGTGGTGGCATAGAGTCTTGGAGAAATATTGTATCCCTTTGGCTGAGCTTTGGCCCTTGAAAACAGGGCAAGGTGAAGGGTAAGACCATGTTTGGAGTCTAAAAGGAGAACCTCTGTTTGGTGTTTAGAGAGGAAACACTATTCTTCATCTATGGTAGACTGGCCATGTACAAGGGAGAGAGGTAAAGAAGAAAGCATTTCAGTCTGGACAAGCTTATTGAGCCCGGCTTTTGTCTTGGCTGTGTTTGGGACCTTGGACTGATGGGTATCATAACAATGAACAAAAGTGTTGTCATTAAATATGCAATCTCCTTTATTCTTCTCAACAGTCTTTGCAGTAGGTGGTATTGTTTTCATTTTATAGATGATGAAATAGAAATAGTAAAGATACAAGAACTTGCCCGAAGTCCCACAGCTAGGTAGTGGGACTGCGACACTTAGTCTTTGGGCTCAGGGCGCTAAACTACCTGAGAAGAACTGTTCAAGGCCATTAGCCCACCACAGAGGAGGACGGAAATAGCAAAAGAGGCTGAATTCCATCAACTCTCCTCTTTCCCCTCGCACACTACTTTTCCTTTCCGATCTCCCTGTGCTGGCTGGAAAATTACTGCTTGGCTATCACCCATGGGAACATAGGTCATCACCCATGGGAACATAACATTCTAACAGCTTTCTGCTTCTTGGCCTGCTGAAATGTGAAAGGGTTAAAGAATAATTAAAACCTGAAACTGGACAAAGGAAGTCTATAACTTAGGCCTAGTTTCTGGAACCCCTAACCACATTCTGTTAATCATGAAACTTGTAACAATGAGCTCATACGCTAACTGCCAATTTTAGCCTGTGTAACCCTGCTTGCTTGCGTGCGTGGCATGAAAAATAATCAATTGTATATAAGCTGAAAATTACTGTTTGGCCATCGCCCATGGGAACACTGGCTATTGTCCATGGGAACATAGGCAATCACCCATAGGAACATAACATTCTAACACAAGCTTTCTGCTTCTGTACTTCCCGCTTGCACACCTGACCAGTGGGTTGACAGGTAGCGAATAGGAGAAAGATGGACCTTTGTGTTTAAGACAGAATGAGGAATGGGATTTGGGGCTTAAAAACCTTGTATCTTGGCATTTCGAGGCTGCTCCTTTGCAAGGACAGCCGCCGGCTAATAAACTGTCTCCTGGTTAAGAGCACTCAAGTTGGGTCTGGTTATTCTGGACACAACACTTCTGTACCCCCGCTTGCACACCTGACCTGTGAGTTGACAGGTAGTGAATAGGAGAAAAATAGACCTTTGTGTTTAAGACAGAATGAGGAATGGGATTTAGGACTTAAAAACCCTGTACCTCTACATTTTGGGGCTGTTTAATTTGGGGTCTGCGAAACCCTGACAGACCCAGCTGGCTGAATAAAGCGCGTGTTTCCTTTAACTCACTGAGTTCTGGTGGTCCCTGTGTCTTTCTGGGGCTGGTGGCTACAACATCCCAGCCCACCTCACATCTGTTAAAAAAAAAAAAAAAAGTGCTGCTGTTCTTATTGTACATTAAGTAATTTAGAAGACATCAACCTCTTAACAACAGCTTTCCCATAAACTTCGACTCAAAATCAACAAACCCCGTTACATAATAAAGCAAATTTTAATGAATTATAATCAGCGTGCACACTAGAGCAAGCCTAATTTCCCAGTCCAAGCTATCCTAGGTTTGCTTTAACAATTTATTCCCAAGCACTGGGCATTTGGGGAGTTTTCTGTTTGCTGTTTTAACATCTGTTTTCCCACAGAGATAGACTTCTGCAGTTACCGACTGCTATTTCCACACGGGAGTGGGGGGGGGGGGGGATACTATATCCTCGACTCAAAAAGAAAACACTTTTTTTTGCCATTCTACTTAAAGAAGACACACCCCAACGCTGACTAAAGGGAGTACCGAGCCCCGGGAAGCACCTCCACAGAGTGAAGTCTGTGGTCAGGAGTTACCACTGATTGGTTCGTGTCTTGCCAGCGCAGGCTTCAGCAGGCAGCAAGGGTGATAGGCTGCTTGGACATCCACCCCCTCGCCGATTGGTGGGGGCAGCGAAGCCTAGGATTGGTGGAGCCCAGAGGGGGGCGTCCTAGCTGCTGCGGCTCCGGCTCCCTAGCAAGGCAGAAATGGCGACTATGGCTTGGGTGCTAGGACGGCGCGTGGCGAGCTGGAGGCTGCAGACATCGCTGTCGCCGCTCACCGGCCTCGTTTCCCAGCGGACCCACTCGTTGTTGCCCGTGGACGATGCGGTCAACGGGCTAAACGAGGAGCAGAAGCAGGTAGGGAGCCTGGCCGCGTTCCCGGCCCCAACGCCTCCAGGCCTGCTTCGTGCTCGTGCTCTCCTGCCCAGGGCCCCACTCAGCCAGAGTTAGATGAGGTGTCAAAGACAGGAGAGCTCATGGAAGACTAATGGTGTTTTGGTGGAGGATTGGCAGGGGTCACCTGTATGTGGCAAAAGGGCCCTCGATCTGTCCCTAAATCCTTTTACACCTAAACACTGTCCAAGGCTGTGGTTCTCCAATCTGATTAATTATGAATCCCAGGAAATCTTTTTGGCATACACACCTCTTGGGTTTTGAAAGACACAGTCTAATTTGATCCCACTGAGTTAGAGCACAAAGTTAAACATTTGAAAGATGCTATTACAAATTAAGTTGAACCCGAACCCTTCAAGGAATAAGGACACGGTGTTCACATGAACCAAGTCCTCCGAGAATGTTATTCCAATGTTTTTCTGCTGTCGCTCTGAGCAAGTGCCTGCACCTCCCTGAACTCCAAAGCCCATTTCGGTTTACGATCAGCAAACAGAGCTTTAAATCACCCCGGAGAGAAAGTGTTCAATCCTAGTTCTCAAACTTTCCTCTCAAGAGGAGTTTCTAATCATTTTTAGCCAACTGTCAGAAAAGAGCCTGACAGGCGCCTAGAAATGAAGGCAGTGTGGCTGGAACTCAGTAAGTGGGGGTAGGGAGAGGTACTGGGGAAGGCTGGAAGGGTCAGCGAGGGTCAGCTTGTGCAGGGCCTTCTAGGTACAATGGAAAGCCATGGAATGATTTTATGTAGGGGCGTGGCATTTAAAAAATAATCTTCAATCTGTCTAGATTGAGAACCTCAAGAAAGAGGGATGAAGATCATCTCTGAGGAAGCATAAACTAATGGGGCCTCTAAGTTTCAGTCTGATGCTATTTGGTGAGGTTACTTGTGGCCTGTATCCCTGAATGTGCCCTCAGTAGTGGAGATGCTGTCCTCAGCGGCAATAATGTACTATTTCATAGACATCTGTCTACCTCTTTCCTCTAGCTTCGGCAGACCATGGCTAAGTTCCTTCAGGAGCACCTAGTTCCCCAGGCCCAGGAGATTGATCGCAGCAACGAATTTAAGAACCTTCGAGTGAGTCCTGAGGCCCACACTGGGGAGGGGGGGTGTTGGTAAGAGAGGGAAGTCTAGAAACTGGGCTGGGCTGGGCCTGGAGTTGCACTGCTGCCTAGAAGGGCTCAAAGTCTTCTGATGAATGAAACTTCCCTAGGAATCCACCTTTCTGTGAAGCATTTGGGTCTCCTTGTTCCAGGTGTCCAGGCACCTGTGACTGGCTGCCTTCTCACAACTCTACTATACTTACTGCCTTCTGTTGACAGGAATTTTGGAAGCAGCTGGGGAACCTGGGAGTTCTGGGCATCACAGCCCCTTGGGTATAGT